CCAATCAAGTCCCACCCCCACTGGCAGTTAAAAGGAGGAAGCAGCTGCAATCTCACATTACTCTGAGAAGCACAGAGCCGGAGACAGAAGCCTGAAGATGATGAATGAGACTTCATCGAAACGTTGCCTAGATACTTCGAATCTTACGCAGGAGAAAACCCGAACAACCAAAGATCCATATATGTATATATGTATATATGTATATATGTATATATGTATATATGTATATATGTATATATGTATATATGTATATATGTATATATGTATATATATATACCACACACACACACACACACACACACACACTATATACACACTATATACACTATATATAAGACCCAGGATGTCATGACAATAGAACTCAGAAGGTCGTTACACAGCCCATTACCCAGGTCATTACAACACAGGAGGCTGATAGACACACAGCCAGTACCTCAGCCACAGATGTTCTTACGAAAAAGCCAACCAATCTGCAAACATCAACTCCATCAACCAATCAAGAAATAACAACACAGACAACCAGCCCGCTTACAACAGAGCCACACCTCCCCACCAGTATTTATAGAGAGATGGCAGCTCTGATCACACTTTGCTCACACAAACACGAAGCCAAAAGCACCAGCCTGAAGATGGTGTGTGGGACTTTGTCGAAACATCGCCAAGATACTCTCAATCTTTCACGGGAAAAGACCCGAACACGCCAAAACCTGCAAACAGCTGTGAAAGTCTGACTCACAGACGAACACTATACAGAAGCCTGACGATGGCAGATGAGATTCTGCTGAAACATTGCTACAACTTTAAAAGCACAACTATAATGACGTGGGAAAATACCTGAACAAAGCTGAATACCATACATATAAATAGCCACGAAAACTTAAGAAAACATACACACACACACACACACACACACACACTTGTTTTCCCGAAAAGATGACCTACCCTGAAAGTAAATCCTAGCTTGATTTTTACATGTGTGCCTAATATAAGCCCTACCTCCAAAATAAGCCCTAATGAAGATCCCGCCCACTCCAGAGTGCACAGGTAAAAATTAAGCTAGGGAGGGGATGGGGGGTGAAGCTGCCCTACTACTTACCTTTGGATAGTTGTAACCAGACCTTGCACACCCCAACACCTGCCTTGCCAGCCCATTTCTTCTGCAGCTGGCAAGGCTGCCAAGGCTTTCCTGAAGGCCTCTGCAGCTGATAACAAAGCTCTGGATCAATCCTCTGTTATTGGCTGTAGAGGCCTTCAAGAAAGTCTTGCCAGCTGCAGAAGAAGAAAAAGTTCCTGAAGTCCCCTGAAAGCAAAAAGGAGGCTGGGGGGTGACACGTGCAAGTGAGGCTAGTCAGTGGGGGTGACATCCCCTGAAAATAAGATCTGGTGCCTTTTGTGGTAGCAAATATATATACAGTATATAAGCCAGGGGTTTATTTTGGGGGAAACATGGTATATACACGTGTGTGTGCGTGTGTGTATACACACACACACACACACACTATTAGATTTTTTCAATGTAGCAAATTCAAAGCATATAAAAAATAGAAAATATGAAATACAGAAATAAGAGTAATTTTTTAAGGAAGACAAAATATATAATAATGCTGTGTCCTCTTTCTATCCTTTAACATCCTATGTTATTCCTCAACCTCTTTATCCTGAAAATAAGAACTGAATTCCTATGCTGCTTGCTTCCAAAGCAGACATGGAAATTATGAAGAATTACTGTTCAGATGTTTCTTTTAAGATGGGATTTTCCCATCAAGTTTTCTCAACCTTGGCTTAGCAACCTTAAATTTCAATGCCGAGCAAGCTACCAGCCATGTATGCTAGCAGCATGCTGGCAAGGGGATTCTGGGAGTTAAAAGTCCACACTTCTTAAGGTTGCTTGCTTTTCAATGGAGACCGAGTGGAGCAAGTGGCCAGTTTTAAGTTTCTGGGTGTTACCCTAAAAGAGGACCTGACCTGGGGTGCTCACATTGCAGCACTGAACAAAAGGGCCCAGCAGAGATTATACTACTTGAGGCTTCCCAGAAAACAGCAACTGAATGAAAAACTGCTGGTGACCTTCTACCTCTGCACCATAGAGAGTATCTTAACTCACTGCACCTCTGTATGGTTTGCCAATTGCACAGGGGCAGATAGGACAGCACTCCAGAGGGTTAACGTCATAACCCAGGGGATCATGGGTTGCCCTCTCCTCTCTTTGGAAGAGCTTTAGAACTCCTGCTGCCTTAAGAAAGTTCAAAACATTCTCAAAGATCCATCTCATCCAGGGAAACCCGCCCCCCCCCCTTTTTGAATTATTACCATCTGGCAGACGGAGGGTACAGGATAATAAAAACAAGGACAAATAGGCTGAAAAGCAGCTTCTATCCCAGGGTGGTAACTCTATTGAATTCTAGTGTTGGTGTGGTGTGGGGGGTTTTGGTTCAATGTGTGGAGTGTGAAGGATGTGTGTTTGTGTTTATTTTCCTGGTCATGATATGTACTAAAGATGGTTTTTGATATCGTTGTACGAGGTGCAATGACAATAAAATAAAGTCAACTAAACTAAACAAATTTGTGAAACCTATCCTAAGGCTAAGCCTTAAGCTTGGAGAAAGTCTTAGCCTTGTTAGAGGGTGGTTGTTGTTGTTTTAAATCTCTCTAGTTAAAGAACTGTTGCTATCCGCCCCATAGCCAAAGCTTATTTAAAGAGGCTCTTCTTTTGATTGGCAGCAATTGGAAAGACGTGGGAACAGCTATTCTTATAAAGAGCTCAAAGGAAGGTCTTATACAACTTCTCATCAGGGGTGTTGGCCAGTTAGTAACCATGTTGGTGTCTCTCATTTCTTAACTTTGGGAAGAGAATTTAAAAGCTTGAGGTTTTCTGGGAACAGGTTGGGCTATTATCAGCTCTTATTTTGTCTTGAAGTTTTTAACTTTACTCTTTGCAAGCCTACAAACTTGAAATTCTTTGAATGTTTGGTAAACCTTCTTGAGTCCATTGCTCATTCTCTTTTTGGGAAAACTGGAAGGTTCAACTATATATTAAGCCAAGTGGATCCTTTGAGCACCTACACTGGCAAGAAGGGGGGAGCGGGAATTGTGTACTTTTGATTAGACAGCTGTGGTTGCACACTGCAAATCAAAGAACCACATTTTTAACCAAGTATGTTGGGCATGTCCTAACGGAGTGATTTGTGGGTCAGTCTCTTTAAGTACCGGCACATTTGACTTAAATGAATAAGCCATTGTTTTGATAAACATGGGTTTGTGAGTTTTCCAACAGAGCCAGATCTCTTTAGATGTTGCTTGGCTATTGGAGCAGGTCTGAACTCTCTTCTGATTATCTCTGTGTTCATTTAGCTGTTTGAGAAGTATGGCGAGAATTTTGTTCCATGTAAGAAATATATCTTGTGCAAAAACACCCCCCTATGCAAGAAGCTTGGTTTAATTCTTGCCTGATCGTAGCTTTTTAAAAACCAAGATATATTGTTCACTCAGTGCACTGGGTTTCAATTTATAAAACAAACTTTGATGGATGTGTTCCCACAGTGTTTTAATATTACTTCCCATTTTGCTGTGTTTTGATAAATTGTCTGTATTGCATCTTGCAATTACTTTGCAGCTGTTTTTGTAGTTTATTTGGCCTAATATAGCCAACTTTGTTTTTATATTTGTGAGCTGCCCAGAAGTGTGTGGCATTGAACTGAATAAATAAAAGGAATAATTTGGCTGTCATCCAGGAATGGGAGGGAGTGCATCAGCAACATTGTGTGTGCTCACAAGGGAGACAAGGTTCCTCAACCTTGGCTGCTTTAAGAAAGGTGGATTTCAACTCCCATGCTGGCTAGGGAAGTCGACCCCTCTTAAAGCGGCTAACTTTGAGAAACTGCTCTTTTGAAAAGGGGAAGTAACGTGTTTAAATTAGACCAGGGTTTGTAAAGGTTTTTGTTTCTGTTTGCAATGCAATGAGCTGAAAGAGCTTTCAGGTGTGAATTTCTCCAACTTAACCCTGAACATGCACTGTTTCTCCAGGCTTGGGTCACTTCCACCTCTTGTGAAGGTTCCATCATTGGAGGGACTTCCAGGCAGTGCTTGAAACCAGGTAAACACAGTTAAAAGCTTGGCTCTGTTCTGCTTAGCTACTGCTTAGTTGAAGCAGAAACCTACCTCCCTTCCTTGAAAACCTACCAAATTCATCATCTTAATTTCATGACCCCCATAATCCTTTGCAGGGTGGAGTCTGGGCAACGGAATGGAGCTAGCTGAGTGTTTACTAACCAGATGCCCTTCCTGTCGCCAATCTGGAGTTATATTCAGTAGATATATTCTCATTGTGTCCAGAGAGAGAAATGTCTGCCTCTACCTGGGATCAAACTCACAGCCTCCTGATTGTGAGGCAAGAACTTCACTTCTAGGCCATCACACCTCTCTGTCCTGCATCCACAATCAGGACAGTTAATTGCAGTGGTTGCTCTTTAGGTGAAAAACAATTTATTTTCCCAGAAATCAAGCTGCAATGGGAAGTTCCCCCACCCTAGGTTAATTTTTACCCATGCACCCTGGAGTTGGGATCTTAATTAGGGCTTAATTCTGTGGGTAGGGCTTATATTGGGCACACATATAAAAACCAAGCTAGGACTTACTCTCTGAGTAGGTCGTATTTTGCGGGAAACAGGGCAGTTATGGAAAGTGACAGCAACGATAAAGGAGAATATTTGTGGCTCAGGGTTAGAGCAGCATGGTGGTCTAATGGTGGAAATGGTCTCCTCCCACTCTGAAGCTTGAGAGTTCAATCCTAGGTAGCAGCAGATGTTTCTCTCCTAGGGAACAAAGAAAAAAAAAAAACTTCTGCTGCGAACTCGATATAGGTGCCAGGAAGGACAACTGGCTAGTAAATGCTCAGCTCCCTCCAGCTACCCTGAATTAAGGGATTACAGGGTTGTAAAGAAGGAGAGAGAGAGAGATCTGTAGCTCAGGATTGAAAAGAGGGGTCCTGGATGCTATCTGAGCTTGGTTGTCTTCTTGCAGACATTGCTGTTCCAAAGATTGCCCTAATTACTAGGTAACATCATTCGTGATGGTAACTACCTTCTTTTAATCCCAGCTGGTCCAGAAATATCACAAGTGGACTGGAAGAATCGTGAGTCATCTCCAGAGAGGAATCTCCTATGGCAACTCCACAAATCTTGACATCTTCTCCAGATGAGAAGAGTCTTCCTGCGTTGGAAGAGCCAGTTGGACACCGAAGCAAGAGTAAAGTTCCTCCCAAAGAAGGGGGTTCCTACCCAGGGAGATCCTCCAGAAGCTCTACCCAAACAACACCGTACAAGTGCAAGAAGAGTAGGATGACTTCTCATAGGGAAACTGGGCTAGCGAAACACTTGAAGGGACATGCCAGAGACTGGAGCTTTAAGTGTGGGATTTGTAAGAAGAGTTTTAGCAAAAAATCGAGCCTCTTGATGCATCAGTGGAGCCACACAATTTTGAAAGCAGGTCTTGGATCTGGGACAGCCTTTGGCCAAAGAGCACAACTTCCAATCTGTACTACAGCCCACCTGCTGAAGGCAACCGACTATGTCAAAAGCCACACGAGAAAGCACCAAAAAGAGGCAACATACAGCTGCCAGAAGTGCATGAAGATATTTTTTCTCCATGAAAATTTGATAAAGCATCAGAAAATCCATTTACCACCAGTGCCAGACCAACCTCAAGCAGGTAGGGCCAGCCTTTGGCTTTCGTGAAGAAATGGGATGTTCACACATTACGCTAAGTCCTCAAAGATGCATGGTGGCTTAGTGTGATGTGCAAAGGCGGTTGCTTTTGTGCAGGTGTTTTTACAACCTATATGCAGTGAAGTTAATACAGGTAGTCCTTGACTTACCACCGTTCATTTAGTGAGCGTTTGAAGCTACGAAAGCTCTGAAAAAAGTGACTGACGATCATTTTTCAGACTTACAACTGTAATAGCATCCCTGTGGTTGCATGATTCCTGTTCTATTTCTATTTCTATTATTTCTACTCTATTTTTCTATTCTTTTATTCTATTCTATGCTTCTATTCTATTCTCTTCTATTTTCTCTTCTCTTCTATTTTCTATTCTACTTTCTATTATCTTCTATTTTCTTCTATTTTCTATTTTCTTCTGTATTCTATTCTTTCTATTTCTATTATTTCTATTCTTTTTCTTTTATTTGTCTTTTGTCTATTTTTCTATTCTTTTATTCTATTCTATTTTATATTCTCTTCTATTTTCTCTTCTTTTCTATATTCGCTTCTCTTCTTTCTATTTCTATTATTTCTACTCTATTTTTCTATTCTTTGTCTATTATTCTATTCTATTCTATTCTATTCTATTCTATTCTATTCTATTCTATTCTATTCGACTCGACTCGACTCTTTCCATTCTATTCTCATGTCTATGTAGATTTTCCATTATTCAGGTCGTGGTTGTCTCTGAGGTGCTTTTTCCAAAAGGCAACTGGATTTTCTTGTTTTACTTTGAAAACCTTTCGCTTCTCATCTGAGTTCACGAACCAAAGAAGCTTTGGATAAGAAGCGAAAGGTTTTCAAAGAAAAACAGCAAGAAAATCCAGCTGAATTTTGAGAAAAACACCTTGGGGCTTTATTGGCCACAATGACTTGACCCTCTTCAGTCTGCTGCTTAAGCCAAGAGCTCAAGACAAAACCTGTTTTGTGAGTGAAGAAGCTCAGCATCCCTTTGTGCAGAAAATGAACTCAACTGCCCGTTTGAGTGTTTGGGAAGTTCCAAGGTCGACTCTTGAAGCTTCAAACCATGGTTACCCTTTAACTTGTAGACCAAGGGTCTTCAAGGGTAACCATGGTTACCCTTTAACTTGTAGACCAAGGGTCTTCAAACTTGACAGCTTTAAGACTTGTAGACTTCAACTCCAGAATTCCTCCTCCAGTCATGTTAGCTGAAGTATTCTGGGAGTTGAAGTCCACAAGTCTTAAACTTTTCAAGTTTGAAGACCCCTGGTCTACATGTTAAAGGGTAACCATGGTTTGAAGCTTCAAGAGTTGACCTTGGAACTTCCCAAACAATGATGTAGACTTTTCCCCTGCTTCCTTCTAGGGAATCCTCAGATAGATCAGAAAGGCAAAACCGAGGAGGTGGAAAGCAACCGTTCTGAACTCTTGCTTGAGGAACGTAAGTGTATAAAACATTCAGCTGGATTGTTGTGGCATGTTGTGATAAGAAATGACATCAAGCTCTTTCTCCACAGTGACCAAGATGAGGCAGAATTTTGACGTGCTTATACTCAACCAACAAATTCAGATCCAGGTTTTGCAGGGAATTCAGAAGCAACTGGATGTTCTTTTGCCTGGAAATGATTTGATCAATTCCAACTTATACAGCCTTGGTCTTCTGTTGAGTGAGCAAGCTGCAGCTGTGAGATCCATCTCTCTCCCTTTCTTTCTCAGTCCCACGAATCTCCTTCCAGGAAGTGCACCTCATTTTTCTTCTTAAACGTCTTCTTAGTCCAATACAAACTGCTCCAGGGGTTCCTGATGAGCTTTATTTTATTTTATTGTTTTAGAATTTGTCAAACATTTCCTGTAGACCACGGGTCCACAAACTTGGCAACTTTAAGACTTGTGGACTTCAACTCCCAGAATTCCTTAGCTAGCTATGCTGGCTGGAGAATTCTTGGAGTTGAAGTTCACAGGACTTAAAGTTGCCAAGTTTGGAGACCTCTGCTGTAGACCTTTTTTTGAACAAATTCAATGGTATGTCTACAGACCAGCCCAATTATCTTTTTCATGTAAGTAGCTTGATCCATTCAACTCTTAGTGTAGATTTTCCTTCCTTTAGATCCATTTTATCATAAGATTGTTTCATCTGTCTTTGCGTTTATAGTTGAATCACAGAGAAATCTCAGTTTCTTTACCAGGGCAGGGCTTCAAAAAATTTAGCAAAAGGTTCTCTGCCTGGTTGTTCGGTGGGCATGGCCATGATGGGTGAGACCTAGTCGGCCTCCTGCACCACAGTGGAGGGGGCTTCGGAGGCTTTTTTTGAGCCTCTGGGAGGGCAAAAATGGCCTCCCCAGTCTCTGGAGGCTCTCTGGAAGCTGGAAATGGGCCCATTTCTGGCCTTCCTGAACTTCTGGGAGGCCCGTTTTTCTCCCTCCTTGAGCCTCCGCATATACCCTGCACTTACCTGCATCCGAAATGGGCCCTGTGGGGATTCCTGGGAGGGGAGGGGCAGATGGGCAGGTCAGGGTCAGTCAGGAGTGGGATTTGGGGGTTCTCTGAACTGCACAGAATCTTAGTTAGGGGCTCTACCAAACCCCTGTGAATCCCCAGCAGCCCAGCCCTGTATCTTTACATAAATGGAAAAGCACCCTGTAACATTAAATTGTGAGAGATCTGTTTTAACGCACAACTAACCAAATCTATTAGTTTTCAAATCAATGTGTCAGGACTGGTTTGTGGTGATTTAACATCTGTCTAGATGTCCATGTCCCTAGAAGAAAGTTATCCCAGCAGGGTGGGCACCCGGGCTGACACTCATTTCAAGATGTACAGTTGAGTAATGTTATATTTAATAGGCCAAATCTTATTCAGGCCCAACTTCCAGTGCTTTGACATCTTGAAAGAATGAGCTTCAGGGAAGAACCCCAACATAAATTGTATTTTTAATCTGTGGTTTTTTTAGCTTTTCTTCATTTGTCCAGAGAATTGAGAAGACCTGCTTTCCCTTATATTTTTTTGCTTAACTTCTTGGATATTCTGTGTATCCCTGATGGGCATTTGGTTTGGGAAGCTGTGACGGAAGCTTCTACTGTGTGGTAGCCTTTTACCCTTGTTAACAACAGAGTGCAAATTTCTGATTAGGATTGACAACCGGGTTCATTATCAAACTAATTAAATAAACACAATATACTGACTTAATTCTGTGCTGTTCTTTAACTTCTGATTTATTTCTTTCTCACCTGGAACACGTTAGCTGTCTTTGAGGAAGGCGGTAGGGAGAGAAACCGGGGTTGGTGGGAATTGATTGGATAAAGTACAGCTCCAAGCACCAGAGGTATCACTTTGCTTGTTGCATCTCTCCTTTTAGGAGCAAAGGTTCATGGGAATGCTATGGATTTAGGATCCTTAAGGGTTTAGGGCAGTGGTGGGATTCAGCCAGTTTGCACCAGTTCACAAGAACTGGTTGTTAACTTTATGAGCAGTTTGATGAACTGGTTGTTGGAAGAAATCATTAGGGCAGAGAGCCAGTTGTTAAATTCTTGGAATCCCACCACTAGTTTGGGGGCCTCTATAAGTGAGGAGGTTTCTGTAGGGTCTCCTGCAGAGTGGGTGCACCCATTAACCCAGTTTAAGTCTGTGCAAGGCACGGACTTTGTCATGGTGAATTGTATTTAAATCCGCATGTAATCTCCTTTTTCTTCTTCTTGTGCCATATATCCATCATCAGATGTTGGCAATCATGTTGGCGATCCTATTTTTATCAACAGCCGCACGAAAAAGTGCTGTTGAGTTTTGCCCAAAGTCCCTTACATTTTGAAGCCATGATGTTCTTCTTCTGCCTGGACCTCATTTGCCTTCAATTTTTCCCTGGAGGATTAAATCAAGTATTCTGTATTTTTCCAAGTGTCGCATCACATCAATGGCATGCTACCGGTTTGGCCTGGTTCTGCCAAGCCGGTAGCGGTGATGAGCAGTGGAGACTGAACCAGTTCTCTCCACCACTCTGCTGTTAGGTCCACCTGCCCTCCCAGGCTCCTATACTCACTTTTATCCTCTGCTTTTGAAGCGTAGCTGCTTTGCGCGGCACAGAAGAGTGGTGTGCGGCAGCTGCTGAAGTGACCAGGAGAGTGCAGGTTTGCAGAAGATGAGGTGGAACACCTCTATGCCTGCACAAATGCCTCTGTGCTTGCGCAAAGTGCATTATTGGTGCGTGCATGCCCACAAAGTGCACCCACCAAGCCATGCCCACTGAACCGGTGGCAAAAGTTTTTGAACCCCACCACGGCATCACATGTCCGAAATATTCTAACCTTCACTTTTTTTATGGTTTTGATGATTTTCCTTGGCTTTCCCAGGCAGCTTATCACCTCCTCACTTTATCAACCCAGCTTATTTGTAACAGCTGCCTATAAATCCATACTTCTAGACTTTTCAAGTGGCTTTCTCTCAGAGTCCAACTCTCCACTCCATACAGCAGGATAGAAAAGATGTGACATGTAATCTCCAGGCTTTTAAAATATTGAATCATGGGAAAAAATGTACGAGAGGAGAGATCCACCCCCATCATTGCTTAATCCATTTCGTGTTAGTTTCCATCTTCAATCGGGGGGAAAGAGACCCCTGAACCTTATCCATAAAAGCCCACTTAGCTCAAGGCAGTAGGAATATATGGCATATCAGTTGATTCATCTACTGCAAGGGTTTTCAAACTTGGCAAGTTTAAGATTTGTGGACGTCAACTCCCAGAACTCCTGAGCTAACATGACTGGAGGAGAAATTCTGGGAGTTGAAGTCCACAAGTGTTAAAGCTGTCAAGTTTGAAGACCCCTGCCCTACTGTATGAAGTGTGAAAATTATACCATTCAGCACTTCTGGTAAAAGATCCCCAGTACCAAACTTCATGCTCTAACTGGGCACTGGGATGACACAAAACTAATAGATGTTGTAGTGAAAAATGTGATGTGATGGATATGGAGACAGGAAGTCAATGCTCACTGAAACAGTAGTTTAATATTAATTAAATATTATTATAGTAGTATAGTGGTAGTGATAGGAATTAGAGTAAATCTCTTGTGATATCTGTTAAATGTTTAAACGGTTGAATGGTATCTCCTTACTGTTGAAGCAGACAGATACCAGGAGTTGATTTAAGGACATGAAGGTTATTCCTGGACATAGGGATCAATCCCCAGAAAGCCACAGTCAAGGTCTAAGGGTGCTGGAAGCTCTAATGTAGCTAAGAAACTAGTTGCAGAGGCTTAGTACAAAATACCAGACCTTATGAGCCATCTGGGACCTGGCAATGAATACGAGCCATATGATCACAAGCAGAGTGGCCTTCAGTGCACAATTGATGGTCTTTAGCCTGACGAAAAGAGAGAGAAGAAAAAAGAAGAAGAACTGAAGTATAGCACCACAACACAAAACAGATCGACTGCCAAATCGCATTTGCAGAGTGAGTTGGAATATGAGTCATATTGATATTTTCTTCTAATCTAGCCCATCTCAGGCCAAAATGCAAAATCCTAGTTGTTTGAAGACATAGGAGGCATGATGGATGACGTGCTTGGAAGAATGACCCAGTTCTTGAAGACTTCTCTTACAGGTTTTCCTCATCCAACCTAAATAGGAGGCTTGAGCAATCCATCTCCAAAGGACAATTTCAGTTTCCCCTCCCATCATTAACCACTCAAAACATTGTGAAAATAGAAATTGCACATGTTTGTTATGCAAGAATCAGATATGATACGTATCTGTACAGGGTAAACCACCATGTGTCCTAATGGGATGGAAATCTGTGACAATATTTCTTAGGATTGTCTAATAGATGGAAGTTGAGTCATAGCAACTGGATTAATTTTCTTGTTGGTTTGAAACATTTAACTGCTTACCGTGGTGGTTCAGTGGTTAGAGTGCAGTACTGCAGGCTACTTCTACTGACTGCCAGCTGCCTGCAATTTGGTAGTTGGAATCTCACCAGGCTCAAGGTTGACTCAGCCTTCCATCCTTCCAAGGTGGATAAAATGAGGAGCCAGATTGTTGGGGGCAACAGGTTGACTCTCTAAACCACTTAGAGAGGGGCTGTAAAGCCCTGTGAAGCAGTAAATAAGTCTAAGTGCTATTGCTATTATCCAAGAAAGTAATTATTGAAAGTGTTGAGATTCGGTCTACTTTATCTCTGCACCAGATAATTCCCCAGGCTAGTCCTGGGTATAAAACCATTACAAGTGAAGGCGAAATACTCAAACTCAGAGAAGCGCACAAAGACCACTAACTTAAACTACTTTTAATTCTGTGTGACTGTCTAGAGATTTAGTTGTTTTCCTAGCTTTGCCTGCTTCATTTAGGGGGGTGGGAAAGACCCAATAGATCACTCCAGGTTATGTGGGGCATTCAGCTCTAAGCCTTTCAAACCCCGTTGTGATAACCAAAAATAATTTCATACACTGAAAGCCTTCTGCTCTCAGGTAGTGAAAGTTAACACCAAGGATTGCATATATGCCTTACTTTCTGATATACTGTCGGGCTGCAGGAATTCCATCCAAGTCTTCATTCAGCAGATACTTCTTAATTCCTAAGCAGTAATTATTTAGGTATTCTGACCAAATCACTTGACGGATATCAAAGGAGAATAACTGGAATAAAATGGAAAGGAGAATATCAAAGAAGGGTAGACGAACTATTTCACTCTTGGTTTATGCTGAATAAATCAAGTGCGGTGGCGCAGTGGTTAGAGTGCAGTACTGCAGGCTTCTGCTGACAGCTGGCTGACTGCAATTTGGCAGTTCGAATCTCACCGACTCAAGGTTGACTCAGCTTTCCATCTTTCTGAGGTGGGTAAAATGAGGACCCAGATTGTTGGGGAAAATAGGCTGACTTTGTAAACTGCTTAGAGAGGGCTGTAAAAGCACCGTGAAGCGGTGTATCAGTCTATGTCAGGGGTGGGCAAACTACGGCCCGGGGGCCACATCCGGCCTGTTGGTCTTTTTAATCCATCCCGCCGAAGATTGGTACAGAATTAAGGTTTGATGTGAATGATTGAATGATTGCATTCATTTGATTTTGACTTGTAATGACAGGCATTTCGACACCAGGTGGCGGCCCATCTGTCAAATTTTAAAAGTCAATGAGGCCCCCGAGCCAAAAAGTTTGCCCACCCCTGGTCTATGTGCTATTGCTAAGTGCTATTATATGAATAAGAAAATTAGCTTTGGCAGGAAATTCCTCATTAGTTTAGCTGATCCCATCAACCAGAGTCGTTTTCCACGCACTGGATGTCTCTTCTTCTTCATATTTAAGACTTGTGATGCATTAATCCAGTGAAAAGGGATCAGATGGATGCCAAGGGGTTCCAATTGATTATTTCCTTAACTTTCTTCTAGAAACTGAATTCTCAGTGAAGGAGGGGCCATAGATGGCTCTCCCAATTCCTCAAGCTGATTTGTCTGTTTGTCTGTATTTTCCAAACATTTATATGGCTACCTAGCTCACTCAGGTGATTCCAGGCAGGTTACAAAAGTAAAATCCCAAGAACAAAACCCAATAAATCACCACTTTCCTGATGACGACAATAATTAAACACATGAGGGGGCTCTGAATCATGTGGCAAAATTTTCTCTCCTGGGCCATTCAAAGCATCAAGGCAGCGTCCAATCCTGTCCTAAGGTTTCATCCTCAATTCCCCACTTTCCAGGGAGCAACAAAGAGTTCCACAGTTGGAAACAAATTCAGGGATACCTTGAAAGTTTGGCTGTAAAGGAACAAAACCTGCACAGAATAATTTCGCCTGAGATTTGCTTTGGGCCCTTCGCACCATGATGCCAGATTGGGAGTTCTATGTCAGGAAGGGAGAGGCCTTCAGAAAGAATTGCTCGGTTGCGTTGATGTTTAATCATAGCGCTGAATGTCGTTGAAATGATTTGGGAGAGCTTTAACCCTTGCTGGCCTTCAGAAAAAGGTAAAAGGCAACAGTGTGGTTTTCCCAAAGACCTATTTATTTCATTTTTATTTATTAATCGAATTTATATAGCTGCCTATTTCACCAAAGGTGACGCTAGGTAGAACACAACGATAGATAAATCTTTCCAGAGCCATCTCGCCACAGCTTTCTGTATTCCAATATTTGAGGGGCTGCCACAGAGAAAAGGGGGTCAAATTATTCTCCAAAGCACCCAAGGGCAGGACAAGAAACAATGGATGGAAACCAGCAATGGAATTCAAAATATTTTACCGTGTTTCTCCAACAATACGGCTTCCACCAATAGGAATGTTTTATTGGCATAAAATCAAATTAAGCCCCTCCTCCCAAATTAAGGCCTATATTAAACATGTGAAATGGCGGGGGGGGGGGATGGCAGGGGGGGCTTGCCGTTAGGAAGTACTTTTGTTGCATATCCAGATGTGGTGCTGCCTGCGTTGGTGGGGCACTTCGTATCGGGAGACCTTCCGCCACTGTTGCTTTCCCTTCTCCTTTGCTGCTGCAGCGTTTAGAGCAACGTTGTGTGTTTGGCACAGCCATGCATGGCCAGCCAGGGTTTTTCCCTGCACCCGGAGCCCTGCGGAGACACTTGGCTCCAGACGCTTCTGTCGCCGCCTTCCCTTTGCCTTCGAAGGTAAAGCCAATTCTTTTAAAAATGACACCCTACTACAACAAAGCCTCCCCTGCCTGAGAGGGCAGCCCAACCCCACGTGGGGAGGTGACTCTCCCGGGGCCTCAGCGCAGGATCGGCCCACCCCAGGAGAAGCACCCAGCTGCCATCCCTGCCTGGCACCAGGTAGAGCACAAAGAGCTTCGCCTGGGGTGCCCAGCACAGCTGATAGGTGGGCCCTCCTTTCCGGTGGCAGAGCTCTCGCCAAGGCAGCGAGCGCCTCCCTGCCAAGGCCCTCCGCTCATCCCATCAGGACCGCGCTGGAGCTGTGTGGGCTGGGCAGAGCTGGGAAAGTGAGCCGTGGGTGCGCGCCCACCTGCCAAGCGAAAGAGCCGGGCCGACCCAAACTTGGCTTCCTTCCCAAGTCCCTCCAGTCCAAACCCGAAGGGGCCACCAGGAGAGGCTGCCCGAAGCAGTGATAGCACCCACCCATCCATGGACAGGGAGGCAAGGCGATGGCCTGTGCCGCGTCCTCCTCCGAGCTGAGCCCCGCCGAGTCAGCGCCTCTTCCAGATGTCCATTGCGCTGCAGCGTTTGGAGCTGCCGGCGGATTTGGAGATGCATGGGGATGGGGATGGCCTGGCCAGGGAAGCAGTGCTGCCATCACCTCACCTTCCTGTCCACGGACGGGTGAGCGCTATCACTGCCTCGGGCAGCCTCTCCCGGTGGCACCTTTGGGTTTGCGCTGGAGGGACTTGGAAGGAAGCCAAGCTCAGGTCAGCCCAGCTCTTTTGCTTGGCAGGCGGGCGAGCACCCGCGGCTTGCTTTCCTGTCTCTGCCCAGCCCGCACAGCTTTGGAGCGGCCCTGGCGGATGAGCGGAGGATCCGGCGGGGAGGTGCTCACTGCCTTGGTGAGAGCTCTGCTGCCGGGAAGGAGGACTTGCCTGTCAGCTGCGCTGGGCGCCCCAGGCGAAGCTCTTCGCGCTCTGCCTGGCACCAGGCAGGGATGGTGGCTGGGCACTTCTCCCAAGGTGGGCCAATCCTGTGCTGCGGCCCCGGGAGATTTGCCTCCCCACATGGGGTTGGGCTGCCCTCTCAGGCAGGGGAGGCTTTGTTGTAGTAGGGCGTTGGTTTTAAAATAATTGGGTTTGCCTTCAAAGGTAAAGGGAAGGCGGTGACAGGAGCGCCTGAAGCCGAGTGTCTCCGCCAGTCTTCCTAACAGTGAGGACAATTAACCAGTGGAACAGCTTGCCTTCAGAAATTATAGGCACTCCATCACTGGAGTTTTTTTTTTTAAAGAAGAGACTCGACAGCTGCTTGTCTGAAATGATATAGGGTCTCCTGCTTGAGCAGGGGGTTGGACTAGAAGACCTCCAATGCCCCTTCCAGCTTCTCTTCAATTCTCTTCTATTCTATTCTTCATCATTTTCTCAATACTAGAAGGTGCAGTAATGGTGTAGACACGAACTGTCTTGATGGGGATTGATAAAGATAGAAATCCTATACCAGTAATGGAAGACAGCTGATTAGTAATAGGTAACCCACGCTGTTGAAATCCTATTTTATAGAAACCTTGAAATTCCAGTTTACATCAACTGGAATTGATTGCAGACTTCTGAACACGCTTATCTCAAAGGGAATTTTCTCATAAAATGTTCCAGTGTGTCCTTGTGCTTAACTCTGGAACTGTCCACCTTTCCAGGTAGTCCACAGACGAAACATATAGTTGCTTTTTCCTAAGGCTACATTAATTCAATAAGATGCTTACATTTTTGTCTTTTGGATTGAGCTCTTTCATCAACATGTTTGTGTGGCCGGAGCTCCATTCCCAGGTATGGTTGATAAAATATTCAAGAAGCCTCATGGCCTTTTCTATGCGCGTTAAAAGTTTCATCGCCCTGAAAGACAAAATAGAAACACCTCAGATAGCTAGGCAGAGAATTATTGAAAAAAGTTCTTGGTGCCACAGTCCTTTAGGACAGTGGTTGCCAACTGGTGGGCCGCGGTCCACGGGTGGTCCACGAGAAAATGTTTGGGGTCCACAGAGAAATGTCACCCCCCAAAGCACCCCCCAAAGCAATTAATTCAGGCTGCGCAGGAACACAAGGCTGCTCCACCCACATGGCCTGAGGGAACACAAGGCTTGCTTGCTTGCATTGCAAATAACACGAGGTAGTGAGGGGAGGGGGGAAAGGGTGGAGGGGGGTAACCTGCCCCACTCACCCCACGTGCCTTGTCTTGCCACCAGACTGCTGCTTTCCACTTCTTTCTTCTTCTGCTTTTGGCTGCACGCAAGGAAAGCAGCAAAAGTCTTTCTTTCTCTCCCCTCACACTCTGCCAGAAATGAGCCTTTGGGACCCTGCAACATATCCTGCTCCTAGAGGCTGCCCCGGGCAAAGCCTCATTTCTGGCAGAGTTTGGGGGAGAGAAAGAAAGACTTCTGCTGCTTTCCTTGCACGAAGCCAAAAGTCAGTTTCTCTCTCTCTCTCTCTCTCTCCTCCCCCTGAGAATGGAACTGGAAACACTACCCTGCGATCACAAATAAGGAACGATTGATCAGTAGGAAAATGGGGCGGGAAATTTTCCTGCAGACATTTTTGGGATTTTCCCAGGGTCTCTACAGACCCTGGCTGCTGCTGCTAAATACCAAGGGGGGCATGATGGCTCAGCGGTTAAAGATGCTAAGTGGTCAGCTGGAAAGCCAACAACTTGAGTTTGAGACTCACAATAAGGGTGAACTCTCGTTTCTTGCCCCAGCTCCTACCCACCTAGTAGTTTGAAAGCATGCAAATGTGAGTAGATAAACAGGTACCCCTTCAATGGGAAGCTGACAGCATTCTATGTGCCCTTGGACAATGCTGGCTCCCTTGGTCAAGAAACAGGGATGAGCGCCATGCCCTAGAGTCGGATATGGCTGGACAAGGGAACCATTACCTTTTGCCAAATGCTAGGTCAGTCAATAATAAGGCTCTTGTGATTCAAGATCTAATTGAGGAGGAGCGAGTTGACCTGACATGCATCACCAAGACCTGGCTGCTCTGGAATGTGGAGGTTCCCCTCTCAGAATTGTGTCCATCTGGCTTTTGAGTTTGGCACCACCCGAGACCCCAGGACAGGGGACGTCGGGTGGCAGTGGTCATCAGAGTGTCTGAAGCACAGGTGGTATTCAGCCAGTTCTGACTGATCCTGGCAGACCAGTAGGGAAATTTTTGACTGGCCCTGTCCATCTGCTCCTGCTCCTACTTCTCACCTCTCCTATATTCTGCTGTTTATTAGCTGAGCTGATTCCCGCAGTAGAGCAGATTGCTGCACCTCAGCTAGCTAAAAAAAAACAGCACAGCTCACCACAGCTTTTCAGTTGCTAAAGAAACCTTATTGGCAACAGGAAAGGCATCCGGCCCTTAAAACACTCTGCTAGCTCTATTCAGTTGCACAGACTCTGCCTTGCAGGGGATTAGGGTGTCGTTAAAAGATGATAATCTATAGGTTTTGTATAATTTTAATCTTTTTAATATTATAAGCCACCCAGATTTACCCTGTAGTAAGATGAGTGGCCAATAAATTTAACAATCAATGAAACAAACAAACAAACAAACAGGTCTTCTGTATTCTTAAGGATACTTCCCTAAAACTGCTATCCTGACTTTTTTGGAACTGTCCCCTACACCCCACAATGTAGATCCAATCTCACTGTGGCTTCTTTCCAATCAGCCGCAGATAAAGGTCATAGAGAAAAGCAGGGGTGGTGTGATAGACAAACATCCGGTACTGATGGACCAAATGGCTGGAGGTCAAGGTGACTTCTGGAATTCTGAAGGGTTTCTCCAGTGGGTTTTGGGTAAATGAACTTCTCACATGGGTTTCTGCAGAGTGGTAGAAAACAGATATTACACCCATTGAGGTAATTGCATGAAAGAGCAGCAATGATTAGACGTGAGCATTGAAGAAGGCAAAGCTATGTGAACATTGGAAAACCAGAGGTGGTTTTCAGCACATATGATTTGACAGGCTCAGGTAGAAATAGAGGACCTCCCTGTAGGGAAAGAATTATTTTCCTACAGGCAATAATTCTGTTAATTAGTGTTGTTATTGTGATGTTACAAAGGGTCTTTTGCTTCAAATATTTTATTTGGTCAGTGTCTAAGGCCATGATTTCAAACCTATGGCACATGTGCCACAAGCGGCACGCAGAGCCATTTGTGCTGGCATGTGAGCCGCAGGCAAACTTACCTCACTGCGCATGCACGCACGTCGCAGCTGATTTTTTGGGGGGTTGGTTTGAGGCCTTTTTCAGCCTCCCAGAGGCTTGGAAAAAGCCACCACAAGGCTTTTCAGGATGAATAGATGCATTTTGTCACTTCCTGTAATACTGGAAGTTATGAAACAGGCCTATAATTTGTCCTGAAAAGCCTTGCAGAGGCTTTCCCCAAGCCTCTGGGAGGCCAAAAAAGGCCTCAAACCAGCCAAAAAATCAGCTGTGTGGCACAGTGCAGATAAGGGGCTGGGGAGATTGTACATGCATGCACAGGGGGCGTGGGGAGGAGGGCACGCATTGCATTCTGGGTGCTGGCATGCGCACATTTTTGGCACAGGAGGCCAAAAAGGTTAGCCACCACTGGTCTAAGGGGTCTTGCTTAACATCTAGGTCAAGGGTCTTCAAACCTGACAGCTTTAAGGCTTGTGGACTTCAACTCCCAGAATTCCTGAGGTAACATGACTGGAGGAAGAATTCTGGGAGTTGAAGTCCACAAGTCTTAAAGACTTGTCAAGTTTGAAGACCCCTGATCCAGGTAAAGGTTTTGTTGTGGTCTGTCGGCCGCTGGCCCCCTGGCAGCTGAATCAGATGAGGAGGCAACATGTGAGTCAGCCCAGCCTCAAGGCAATCTATGAGCTCCAAGGGGGAAGAGAGAATGGAGCTGTCAGAGATAGACACAGAGGCGGAGACTGGGCCGTCGGTCAGCCCTCAGATGGAGAGTCAACAGTCCCCAGGTCTGGATTTGACTGATGAGGAAGAGGAGGAACAGCTGGGTCCAGTGCCTAACCCGTGGATGCACAGAAGGCAGAGGAAAGGAGAGCAGTGGAAATCTATGGGCTGGTCCTTGGGGTGGAAGAGCCACCACTTCTAGTGAAGCCTCACCTGGGGATAAAAGGCATGCTGGAAGAAAGCAAGCACACCTCCCACGACTTCCTTTGCAAATGTGGGAAGAGAGAGAGAAACTCCTGGTTTGTTGGGGCCATTTCAGGGAGAAAAGGAGCGAGCATCACCATCACTTTCCACAGGACTTAAGGACTTTGTTAGTCTGCTTTGAGAGAGTTGCTGCTGGCGCTCCTAATAAAGGTAATTTTTTGTTAAATAC